TCACACTCAAGGCAGGGTCGATGGGGAGGTTGCCGGGCCACCCCCTGTCACTCACAGAGTAGGGCCAATAGGGGAGTTGGGGCACCGCCCCCTGTCACACACAGAGCAGGGCAGATCAGGGGTTTGGGGCACCGCACCCTGTCACACTCAGGGCAGGGCCGATGGGGAGGTTATGGCTCTACCCCGTCACACACAGAGCAGGGCCCATGGGGGGGAGGGGTTGGGGCACCACACCCCTGTCACACACAGAGCAGGCCCATGGGGGGGGGTTGGGGAGCTCCCCCCTATCAGGCACAGAGCAGGGCTGATCAGGGGGTTGGGGCGCCTTCCCCTGTCACGAACAGAGCAGGGTGGAGAGGGAGGTTGTGGCTCCACCCCGTCACACACAGAGCTGCAGGGCGATCAGGGGGTTTGGGCGCTGCCCCCTGTCATGCTGATCCCGGTGCCGGGAGGCCTCGCTGCTCCGCTGATCCCGGTGCTGGGAGGCATATTACCCTTTTACTATATAGGATAGAGGCCTGGTGCATGGGTGAGGGCCGGCTGGTTTGCCCTGAAGGGTGTCCTAAATCAGGGTGGGAGTCCCCACTGGGGTGCCTGGCCAGCCTGGATGAGAGAATGATGGCTGTTTGTAGCTGGTCACACCCCCTTCAGGGTGGGGGTCCCCACTGGGGTGCCTGGCCAGGCTGGGTGAGGGGCTGAGGGCCGTTTTCAGGCTGGCGGGTGACTGAAGCTCCCAACCTGTCCTTTTTTTCTTTTTCTTTTTATTCTGGGCCAGCTTTAGTTCTGAGGCTTGGCTCCAGCTCTGAGGCCTCAGCTGCTGAAAGCAGGTTTCTGGCCTTTGTTTACCTTCTGTATTTGAAACAATGTTGCTGTCCGGCTGGCTGAAGCCCGGATGAACAAAGCAGGTTTCTGGGGTTTTGTTTAGCTTCTATATTTGCAACATAGTTGCTTAGAGTTGCAGCTGAGAGGCCGGCAAGGCAGGCGGGGAACCTGGCTTCCTCCATCACTGAAGCAAGCAAGCCTCCTGTTCACTTCAGTGCATGGCTGCTGGCCGCCATCTTGGTTGGCAGTTAATTTGCATATCTCACTGATTAGCCAATGGGAAGGGTAGCAGATGTACGGCTAATTACCATGTTTCTCTTTTATTAGATTGGATGATTTTGGGCTGTGGTCCTTTTTGCTTTCTAACTAACTTGGTGCTTGTTTTCCGAGTTTAATTCTGCAACCTTTTCAGTGATATTAGCTACCCAACATCCTTTCAAAAGAAAAAAGTCTTTAACTCCAGAGTTAGTATTTATTGCCTCATTTATGAATCTCATACATTTCTTAAGTCCTTAGAAGAATCTTTAAAACTTCTCTCAGGAATCTTTACCAACCTCTATTCCAATTGGATTCCAGTTCCAATTGAATCAACTCACATTTCTAAGTATATGCATATATAAATACTTATGCATCGAAATTGATGTTTTATTTCCTTTTTTAAAAATATATTTTTTATTGATTTCAGAGAGGAAGGGAGAGGGAGAGAGAGAGAGAAACATCAATGATGAGAATCACTGATTGGCTGCCTCTTGCATGCGCCCACTGGGGATCAAGCCCGCAACCCAGGCATGTGCCCTTAATCAGAATCTAACCCAGGACCCTTTGGTCAGCAGGCCCATGCTCTATCCACTGAGCCAATTTTTATAACTATTTTGGTCTACCTCATAGAATCATGAGGCTATCAAGATTAGAAGGAACCTTAAAATTAAATTCCACATGAAACCTGAATCTCTAATTCCCTTTAACAACCTTCCTACCAAGAGACTGATAATCTATATCTAGATAGTTTTATTAATAAGAAAATCACCTCTCCCTTCTTAATTGTTCATTCAATCTTTGGACAGCTTTTTGGGAAAGATGAGAAGTCTGCTTGTTCTATTAATATTAATATTAATATTATTTAACAACACTAATGATAAATCTCTAGACTGGTAGACTTCAAAGTATGGTCACAAAATCAACAGTATCAGCTTCACCTGGGACATTTTAAAACTGCCAACTCTTGGATCCTACACCAGACCTACTGAAATGGGAACCCTGGAGTGGGGCCCAGGAATCTATTTTTTTTTAAATATATTTATTTATTGATTTCAGAGAGGAAGGAAGAGGGAGAGATAGAAACATCAGTGATGAGAGAGAATCATTGATCAGCTGCCTCCTGCACACCCCCTACTGGGGATTGAGCCCACAACCCAGGCACGTGCCCTTGGCCGGAATCGAACCGGGGACCCTTCAGTCTGCAGTCTGTAGGCCGACGCTCTATCCACTGAGCCAAACTGGCTAGGGCAGGAATCTATGTTTTAACAAGCCCTTCAGGTCATCCTGAAGTGCACTATTAATCTAAGTGAAGCCTAAAAGAGTTTTAAAACCTCATTATCCTTTACGACCTGAAGATTTCTTATCTAAGAATGGGCTCTAGCCTTTTACATATGTGTAAAGTCTTAAGAGTTGTAAAAATCAGAGCCCTCATTAAAATTTGAATGAATTTTGTGCCATGAATTTTGCCCTCATTCCCTGACTTTCTGGTATTCCTCTAACAATCCATGGTTTTCAAATATAATACCAGGTGATTAATATGTTTATTAGCCAACACCATCCTCACAGCTATATTTAGCATAAAATATGAAAGGTCGAAGAGATAACACATTTGTGAGTGGGATAGAAGAAAATAGCTCCCATTTCCAAGGAAGACCACTTTCCTCTCTTGGCAGACCTGAGTTAGACAGGCTTCCCAGGCTCCCCCCTTCCCCTCCCAGCCTTCTTTCCTTTTGGACATTACCATCACTCTCTGGCTGCTTTTGGCTAGCATGAATTTTTTTTTTCTTTTTCCTCCTCCTTCACATTTTAACCTAGGAAACTAGTCATTTATTTTGTTTTTTCTTGTTTCAGAGATGTTAAGTTTTCCTTAACTTGGCTTTACTGTTGCAAATTATGGTTCATTTGTAAAGCATGGATGCTGGAAAAAGCTTCCAAGAAGCCCTAGTGTTGCATTATGGAACCAGGCCTTTCATTTCGCATTGCCTTTCTAGACATGCATGTAGATTTCAAATCTGTCTTACTGCACCACAAAAAAAGATTTATGAATAACTCATGATCACAGTATGTTTACCAAAAATTTCTGCTCCTATGGCAGATACGGAAAGCTGAAAAGTTTTATGAAACTTTCTAAGTAGTTAAGACCTTTCCAAAATGAAAAGTAAGTTCTGTCACGCCTAATTAGTTTAACATACTTCAACTGTGCTGTTTATGTAAAATATAGGAAAAGAGAATAAAGAAAACATATGTTGAGCAACTACTACATATCAGGAACTGTGCCGAGTGCTCATATAGTTTTTCATAAAATCTCCCTGACAACTTACAAGTTAGCTTAAAAACTGCTGCTCAGTGTTTTGGTAATTTGTCCATGGTCACATGTCTAGTAAGTGGTGGTCAGGCTGTTCTCAGAGGAGGCTTAGTATGATTTAATGTCCATTTTCTCTATCTACATTACACACTGCAACAGCAGACACTCCAATGACTAAATAAAGAGAAGAATGAATTTACTTACATTGTTGTTGGTCACAGCAAAGTACTGCAAATTACTCAAATATTGGATTTCTTCTGGAATGAAGGTCAGGTGGTTATAGCTTAGATCCAAATAATGTAGTTTAGTGCATAGAAAAAGCTGCAGGGGTAGATTCTCAATATTATTATGGTCCAAAGACAGCTGCTCTAGATTAGATAATGCCCCAATTTGGGCAGGAATATAAGCAATGTTATTGTGCCACAATTTTAAGCAAGAAAGATTCTGGAGATGCTGAAAGCTGATGATCTCCTCCACGGTCTTAAGGTTGTTTTCTTTTAGGTCTAACTCATGCAGATTGTTCAGGCTGAAAATGGAGTGTGGAATGCGTTCAAGGTCACAGCTGAGCAGCTCTAGGCTTTTCAGATTGACCATTTTTTTCAGGTTGTTCAACACAACCAGTTTGCTTCCCTCATTATTGAGGGACAGTTTCTGCAGGAAAGGCAGGAGGTCTGTGATGACCTGTGGGATCCGGGGCAGGCTGCTCTTCAGGTAGAGGGTCCTCAGGTTTTTTAAGTCCTGAAAGCCCTCCAACTGCATGGTACTCAGCTGCTCAGGGAGAACACAGCCCGACAGATAAAGTTCTTTGAGATTCTTCAGGTGAAATACCCAGCGTGGAATTTTCCCCATTTCAGTAAATTTCAGGCGGAGAACTTTTAAATTCTCCTCTAAAAAGGCCAGGGCAGGATGGTCTACCACCAGAGACGAATGGTACACATGAAGCTCATTGAGGTTGACCAGCTGGGAGACGGTGGAGGGCAGCTTGACCTCAGGAATCAGCTCTAGGCTGAGCACTTCGATTTCAGTCAGCTCAAAAACGTTGTCTGGAAGACCGTTTAGCATAAAGAGATGCAGTTCTACCTTGTCTTGGGCATTTTTCACCAGCTTGCTTTTCAGTTTCTCCACCGTCCATTCGTTATTGAGGTTGATCTGCTTCAGTTTGTTCTCACTGACCTCCGACAGGAATATGGAGAAGCGTTTGGAATAAAGAGGATCGTACTGGTCAGCCAGATGGAGGATGAAGGCAAAGTCATTCTTGACGTCCGGTATGTCGCTGTAGTTGCTTTTTTCTCTCAACGCCTCAAAGGAATATTGCTTGAGGGAGCTCCTCAGCATCCACCACAAGCTGTAGGAGGAGGTGAAGCCATAAAGTATAACCAGGATGACATAGAACGAAGCCAGGACCTTAAATATTTCTGCCAAGGAGTAGACGCACTGGTAACGCTTATATCCCGTGAAAGCCTGCACGTCAACTGAACAGTCAATTTTAAGAGTGATGTAGGTTAAAAAATATGGAACGTAACTAATGATGAAGACAAACAAAATGACTTTGACTATTATCTGCTTCAGATACACTCTGTAAATGATATCCTTCTGCTCCACGTGCATGCGGAACCTTTTCACTTTTTCAAAGATGGCTTTGGCCTGCTCGCCCTCCTTCTTGTCCAGGACACTGGAAGTCGGGCTTTCTATGCCAGCCGACTCCATGCCGGGCTGCGGGTAGGGCAAGGACTGCTTATTGGCATCCACATCAGCCGAACACCCTGAGGATGAAAGCAGAACCTTGGACTTGGAGAGCGTCAGGGGCCTCACTGACTGCTCGGCCACCGTTTCCGACAGGGCGCGGGTGGTCCACGGAGAATCGAAGCACTTGTGCAGGATGGCCACAAAGTGCTCGAGCCGGGAACTCGTGCTGGGGTAGTGAAGCCAAAAGTTGCTGCAGGCTGCGAAGATGAGCGTGTGCAAGAGCACCAGGTAGGGGAAGAACTTTGCGAACCAGTGGAGCTGCTTCTCGTAGCAGACGGCGTCGATGTAGGAGTACTGCTGGCGGTGGAGGTCATTCTGGATTCGGAGGGGGAGCGGGAGCGGCGGCCCCAGGTCGGAGGATGCATTCACGCTGGCTCTCAGGAGGTGCCAAGGCACGGAGCAGTGATTGTCGAATTCCACCTTACACGGAAGACAGCACAGAACCCGGCTCTGCGTCAGCTGCAGCGCGCCCGCCAGCACGGCCACCAGCAGCATGACCAGGGTGATATAATACCAGAAGACGTCCCACCACGGTTTTAGGATGTGATAAGATGATTGGGCGTCTGCTAAACATTTTAGCTCCGTTAGTGTGATCATGACTTTCCCTTGGAGGAGGAGTACAGAAACTGGAAGAGAAAAATAAAAGAAAAGGGGCTGAGGTAAAAGTATCCAAAATAAGCATTTAACTCTAATGCTCATATACACATATCCTAAGTAGGATTTAGCTCAGGGGCAAACCCTTGAAGGCAGGACTGATCAGGGAATATAGAAGGCACCTGGTTTCATTAGAGAATGTGCACTTTAAAGTGCCTTCGGTGAGACACCGTTTGGTGATAAACGACTGGGGCAGGCTGTGAAGCAACAATTTCATTTCCTCCTGCATTTTGACTTCATGCTGAGCTATTAAAAACCGGATTTTCCTCAATCAACACTGGGACAACTTGTTCTTATGCTACTTGTTCCTAGCTACACTTTACACCCTCCCAAAAACGGTTTGAGTAAGCTCTGTTCCACACCCTACCCCCCACGCCTGGAGCATTCACTTTAGCCTAAGAGTTGTGTTTCAGTCACTAAGAAGAACCTCTTTTGAGCAAGCACTGCCTTATAAATTTACCCCTTCCAAAAATTCTAGAGGGATCTGCCAATTCTATGTTCAAAACAAAATGTAATTTAATGCATTTGCTCCCCCAACCCCCCAGCTCTTGAGATGTAACTAAAATTCATGTCCAACTTAGAGGACTTAAAAGCTGACAAACAATAGTAATGGCTTAAAAAAGGATTGGGAATAAAAATCCAGTTAGAGCAATATTCTATTATAGAGACTCTCATGTTTAACGTTTCCATGGCAAAATACTAATAGAATAAATGACTAAGGGCATACTCTATTCTTAAATTATTTTTGCTATCAGAAAAACAAGGTGGATTTTTCAGGTTCTTTAAAAGTACTCAATGTTCCTTATATAAATGGTTTATGTAAAGTTCAGAAAGAGACATTACATAAAATATTAAGTCATTTAAAAATATTTTTAAATCACTTATTTTAAAAATTGTTAATTAGTAAAATCCAGACCTCCTATAAGAGGGCACAGAGCAAGATAGATAAAACGACATTTTGAACCTAATAATGTATTTGGCAAGAAAAAAGAAGCCACCGCGGCATGGTTATCTTTTGCTGGGGGTCCAGTTCTAACCTATGTCCATGGGCTTCTCTTGTACTTTCTTGAATCTGAAGTCTTAGTATCTTTCCTAGGTCTGAGTTTCTCTTTCTAGATATCCTAGTACTGGCAGCACCCCAAGGAAGCCTTTTTTTGGCTCATTAATCCCCCTTCTAGAGACCGGCATCCTGCCTCGAACCCCAGAATTCCATTGCAGATGCTCTGCTACCTGTTAATCAGTGTGTTCTCTTTTGCCGGTCAGCTCCAACATACTCCTTATCATCTGATCCTGAGCCCTATACCTTCTTGCTTTCCCACTTGTCAGGGCACCCATGACACCTGATTTTAACTGCTGGACTGGAGCACCACTTTCTCCCTGCATCTTCTCTAATCATCATATTATATGGTTTCGACTTCCTCTTAGGACTTGGATCTTGATTATACAACTCGTCACCCTTCCCTCCTTTAGTTTAGTGGGTCTAATTCTAATTCTCAGCTCCTCTCATTCTGCCTCATCCAACTGCAGTTAACCATAATTGTTTGTCAATACAAGACAAAAACCAAAACCAAGAGGAGTATATGAGACAAACAGAAAGTCCTGCACGTAGACCCCCAAATGCCATAAACATGGTAGTAGGCAGGATGGTAGAACATACTGATGATCATGTGAAAAATAACTAGGGTTTTTAGCTGGCATGAATATATGCTTTTAGCTAATAGTGTGGTAGCTATTATGATAAATATAGCTATGTGCTATATAGTGATGGCGAACCTTTTGAGCTCGGCATGTCAGCATTTTGAAAAACCCTAACTTAACTCTGGTGCCATGTCACATATAGAAATTTTTTGATATTTGCAACCATAGTAAAACAAAGACTTATATTTTTGATATTTATTTTATATATTTAAATGCCATTTAACAAAGAAAAATCAACCAAAAAAATGAGTTCGCGTGTCACCTCTGACACGCGTGTCATAGGTTCGCCATCACTGTGCTATATTAATGCTAACTACAGTTACAATATTATTATAATCTGGGGCCACATTGATAGACGAACCCAGATAAAGGGGCAACAGTCACTCTGTACCTGCCTGGTGAGATTACACCTGGAATTCAACACTGAGTCATAGGTTACAAATTAATTGGGCAACAAAAAAATCAGGAGCTACTTGTCTGCAAACCATTATCTACAGAGAAACACAGGTAACTGACGATATTCAGCTGAGATGATGGCAGTGAAGTAGATGGAAACTACACTCACCTCCTCCCAGGACTGAACCGGAATCACAATAAAGCACAGAACAATCATCCTGAAAAACCAACTGAAGACTAGTGGAAGAGAAGTCTTATAACCAAGGATGAACAGAAGCAGCCAGGATTTGCAGTAGAGACTGGTAGGAAGGGCGGAGATGTGAAAAGGGCTGTCCCCACGCCCACATGTGGCAGATAACAGTCTGGAGGGATCTCTTAGTTGCAAAGGTCCCTCCGTAGGAGCAAGGGTTCTCAACCCCCTATTGGGATCCCCAGCCCAGAGCACCAGAGCCAGGAAGAGGAGCCCAAATAACATTTGGCTGTGAAAATCAGTGGAGATTCCGACCACCAGGGAGAGATAGGAGTCTGCTAGAAACCCAGGCACCCTCTTAAAGAGCCAGAGAAAAAAATCTCATTTGTGGCCACTCACTGTGGGTTCCGATGGAAGGAAGGCGGATCAGAGAGGACTGGAGTCATCCAAGGGGAAACTGGGTTGTGTGCCTTAGGGAAGAGAGCTGAAGAGGCAGCTGTACTAAATCCCTCCTGACACCATCCACCGACACCATCTTTCCTGGGTCCACTGTTCTCCATGCTGTGTCAGCCTGGGGAGTGCACTAGCCTCACCCACCTGACTTCCTGTGGCTCTACACTGCTGAGCTCACGCCTGCATAGGAGCTGGCTGGCTGTGGCCAGCCTGGCAGCAGCGCAGACTTCTTTGGGGAGCTCTCAAGAAGATCTGAGCACATTTGAGGGGTGGAAAAGACAACAGGGAAGGGTGGAGTTGTGTGACTCTAGGGCAAGGGCCATGTTTCCCTCACATGCTGACCAGAGCCACCACCATCTAGTGTAGAGCCCTCCCTCCACACACCCGTATCTTGGTCTGTGTTCATCTGATGAATTCTGCTGGCCTCACCCTGACGAGTCCCTGAGACCCTGCCCCACCACACAGATCTGCTGCTCCCAGGCAGATGGTGGTTGGCCTGGGTGTACACTGAGGCTTTTGTTGAATGGCCTCAGACCTAGAAACCCGATGAATCCTACTTGTCCCTACCGGGTGATTCACTAAGAACCTACCTGACACAGCTCATGTACCACCAGAGGCATTTTCAGTGACTGAGCCTGGTAGGCAACCAGGAGACAGAGGTGTGTGTTGGGTGCCTTGGGCCTTTTGCTCACCTGCCCCAGGCTTGGTGCTGGTAGAAGCCAGGCTTAAAACACAGCTTGGCCCCTACCACATACCCAGGCCCCGCAGAGGCAGCCACAAACTGGATTGCTTTGGAGCTCCAAACTGGTAACCCAGGGCTGGTCACAGGCAGCGCCTGACATTGATCTGCACTAGAGTCCCTCATAAGAGGCCCCAGAACCAACAAACCAGGTGACAGGGTTCAGGCCACATCAGAGCATGACCAAATTAGTCCATAAGTGGCACAACCAGAGGGAGAAGGTCAGCAGGCACCAGATCCGGCTGGGGTGAATTCTGCTTTGTGGAGCTAGCCCCCAGACAGCAACTTGTACAATATGGTCAAGATCGATCCTCACAGTCAGCTAGGCTGAGAATCAACACCATCAAGATAGGCCAATAGCACTCAAGACTCAACTACAACAGGAAGGCTCACATAAGCCAAACAAGAGACATTCCTGAAGCACCAAGCTCAGGTGACAAGGGAGATTGTGTCACCAAGCCCCAGAGAATACCTATTAAATAAGGCCATCATACCAAGACTGGGAGGCATAGCAGATCTACGTAATACATAGAAACAAATATAGAGAGACAGCCAAAATGGGGATCCAAAGAAACATGCCCCAAATGAAAGAACATGAGAAAGCTCCAGAAAAAGAACTAAATGAAATGGAGGCAAGCAATCTACCACATATAGAATTCAAAACAATGGCTGTAAGGATGCTCAAGAAACTTAGGGGAAAATGAATGAACTCAGTGAGAACCATAATAAAGAGATAGAAAACACACAAAAGGACCTAGAGACCATAAAAAAGAACCAGTCAGAGAAAGAAAGATACCATATGCTTTCACTCATATGTGGAATCTAATGAACAAAATGAACTAACAAGCAAAACAGAGATAGATTCATAGACAGCAGGGGAGTGGGTGGCTTGAGGGGCTGGGGGGAGGGGGGAGGGTGGAGAGATTGAGGGAAAAAACAAAAAGAGAAAAAACTCATGGATAGGGACAAGAGTGTGGTGATGCCGGGGGATAAACGGTGTTGGAAGGAGACTTGACTTGGGGTGGTGAACACACGATACAATGTACAGATAATGTGTTGTGGAATTGCGCAACGGAAGCCTGTATAATTTTGTTAACCAATAAATTCAATAAAAAGGAAAAACAAACAGGAGTGACATATGCTATCCATATATATAAAAGCCTAATATGCTAAGTGTCCAACCATTTGACTGGTCACTATGATGCACACTGACCACCAGGGGGCAGACGCTCCGACTGGCAGGTTAGCCTGCTGCTGGGATCTGGCTGATCAGGACTGGGCGAGACAGGCCAGACATGCCCTGGAGCCAACCTCCCACAGTCCCTCCCGGCCTCTACAATATTTCTTCTAATTAATCTCCTTTCAATGTGCATGAATCTGTGCACCAGGCCTCTAGTAATAAATAAAACAAAAATACTAGGAAATACCTAAAATTTCCACACATTTCTCCAAAACATTTCAAATCCACAAAGCTTTTTTTTTTTTCAAACAAATCC